GGGCAGGGGGCCGGCAGACCCGGACCAGCTGGCAGGAGGCAGGAACTGGCCCCATCCGCAGCGTCACACAAACCCTAGTATAACCTGTCCCTTTTAAGCAGTTTAGTCAGAAGCGCTGCTACATTCACGGCTTTTCAAGTATTTTAAAATCACTTACAAAAGCAGGATTAAACTATCAGAAATCCCATTTAATAGGACAAATAAAGAAATAACAATCGACTCTATCAGCCCCGCAAAGGCAGGCTTGATTCAAATAAATAAATAACTAAGAGAGGGAGGAAAAAAGAAGGGGGGGGGGAATAATGTGTGTTTACTCAAGCAAAGAAAAAAATATTTAAGTGATGTAGGGGAGAAGATTGCGGTAACTAGTGAAGAATAACATCGTCTGCTTGGCTGTCAAATCACACACGAATTTCAGTAATAGATTCTCATTCTGACACTCAATTCAATTCAAAGGTGATCCTGCTTTATCCCAACACATCAAATATTAAACACTCGTATTAGCCAGGGTGTCGTCGCCTTTCCCGGCTTAGACATGGCAGAAGGGTTTTTTTCCCCCTACTTTCCTTCACTCACTCTAATATTCTCAATGTTATCTAAACATGCCTTCATACACTGGGCTTCCTTATCAATCCCATTTGGGGAGGGAGGGGGGGAACTTAAAATGGTATTAGCTTGGGGGGCTTTATTATTATTATTTCCAAAGCTTTTCAATTTTGTGTGGAAAAAGCTTAGAAAAAAAGGAGGAGGGAGGGGAGGGCAGTGAGAGCGAGAGAGCTGGAGCGAGGGAAAGTATAAGAAAGGGACAAGCAGCCAGCAGCTCTTGTTTGACGGATGCCTTTCAACAAGGGCAGTCTAGCTTGTCAAAGCCCGGGCTCGAGATGAATTGGCATATCTATTCAGCCTGCCTCTGGATGTCATGCAATACAGTTTCATATTCCCAGATAAGGCATGATAAGCAATTGCTGCCCTGACACCAGCGCCATCCATCCCTGCCTTTCTGTGCACGCGCCCGTGTGAGTACTGCGGATCTCCGCCGAGCCACTAATAAGAGGCATTTAATTTTTACAAATGCAGCGAGGAGAGGGGGCCTTTGAATACGCCAGGAAAAGCCCCCCACCGGCACAAGGACTGTGGATGTTTAATAACTTTCTCAGGGAGCCCCGACTCCCACATGCTGCTCCTGGGTGCACACGCCAAGCACTGCGTGTGTCGGCAGTGTGATTTGTGCGTAAGATCTAATTTGTATATTGACCTGGGTGTGAGGCTTGGTCCTTCGGA